TATAATCAAGTGTTCAGAAAAACTTGAGAGAGGGTACTAGGGGCCCAAGAAATTATTTTTAGATGAGATGACATTTAAAATGAAACTTCAAAGCAGAAAAAGAATTATTCAGGCAAAAAAAAGCTATTAATGGCAGAGGAGAAAACTATTAAGGGAACTACAAGCATTAAAATTTTACTGGATTCAATTTATTAGGAGATAATGGTTAAAATTAAGACTGAAGAGAAAAACAAGGGGTCATATCATGCAGGGCCTTGGAAAAGTCACTTAAAAGAGTCTACCGTTGGTCATGTAGAAGATAGGGAGACATTAAAGGTCTTTAATCTGAGAAGTTACATCAAATTAGTCTTTAAATCAACCATATCAGGTCCTGTTGGGATAATAAATTAGAGGTTAAAAGGAGAAAAAAAGAAATACTGGTGGTAGGCAGGAGAAAGAAATCATTGTAATAATTCACATGATCGAAAATGAGGTCTGATCTAGGTATGCATGGAGAAGTGGGATGGATGTAGAGACATTGTGGAGAAAAAACTTATGGAATTTTTGGTGGATTGAATAAAGATGAGAGGGAAATCAAGTGTGACTTACATGCTTGTTGCTTTGCAACATAGAGAAAATTGTGTTACAAACTAATATGATTGAGGAAAAATATTGATTTGAAATATTGAGTTTGAGGTGCCTGGAAGAAATTTAGTGACATCTAGCAAACCTTGGGTATATAAATATCATACATGAAGGAATTAGGGTCAGAAATTCACTCATTCATTCATTCATTAAATCATTATTGATTAAGTGACTACCAGGTGCCAGCCACCACTCTGGGTGATTAGATTAGAGCAGAATATCAAAGAAAGACCTTTTATTAAATATATTGTAATAAAAGAGTCAGACAGTAAATAATCTACCTAATAAAAATAACATAAGTAGAGAATTATTGTGGTATTATTTTAGATTCGGTAGTTAGGAGACGTAGGGGATCTAAATGGAAATGGCTTAAAAACAAGAGAGGTAGAAAAGTCACCTCAGAGAGAATAGAGAGAAGAAGGCAAAAAATAAAACTGTGGCAGTACTTTCACAGGTCAAATACATTAGAAAATCAATCAAAGACTATTTCATTTACCAAATGAAAGGTGAAATTTTCTCAAGAGTTTATATAACCTACTGGATAATCCTTTTTATTGCTACAAAATAACTAAGTCCATCAATGTTAAATGACAGCTGAAAGTCAAAATAAGTAACAGCATTTTTTAACATAATGAAGCATCTTTGGAATGCTGAAGTATATAACATATATGAAAGCAATATATCATGCAAAGAAGACTAATACACAAAACTGTCAGCTAATAATATAACTTATTATATAATTTAAAACTTTTGTAATATTGGGTATAAATGTTAAAAAAAATTACATTCTTGGGGTACCTGGGTGTCTCAGTCAGTTAAGCCTGAGACTTGTGGTTTCGGCTCAGGTCATGACCTCAGGGTCTTGAGATGGAGGCCTGCCTCTGCCTCCACACTCAGCAGGGAGTCTGCTGGAGATTCTCTCCCTCATCCTCTCCCTGCCCCTCTGCTTCTCCTCCCTCCGCAACCCCCGCTTATGCTCTCTCTCTCTCTCTATCTCTATATCTCTCAAATAAATAAATAAATAAATAAATAAATAAATAAATAAATAAATATTTTTTAAAAAGTTACATTTTTGTTCTAGGTTTTATATACATATATAATTTCATTTAAGCTTATTTTTATAAATGCCTCTATAGATAGTACTTATTAAAATTTGTGTAGTGTTTTATAAATTTCAAAGGAATTTTGTACCTATTGTGTATAGGTACACAATGTGTAGGCATACACATACACTGTGTATGTAGGCATAGAGGGCTAACTTTAATTAGATACATAAGTATCAAATATTTTCTCAGGCATGTATTGAAAAATGTAAAATTTCTATATGCTATGTGTCATATTTTATCATTTTGTTCTGAGTTTCAGTTACCAATTCAAGTAACCAACATGAACTGTGAGGACAAGAGTAGATATACTATTTCCCTTACATTACAGAACTCTTTTGAATAGCTAATGGAAGAGCTTCATGGACTTTCTTGCAAGGAGAAATGCTGTATAAATCGCTGTGCACAGATAAGATATAATATGGCCTACAGTGTTATCAAATTGATTTCATGAAAATGTATTACAAGGGAGTTTTATTATAAAACAAATGGCTAAAAACAATAGCCATAATTCTTTTTTAAAAAACTAATTTCTGTTTGTTTTAAGAGAGAACTAGTAGGGTATTGGTGCATTTGTAGTGTGTAGATACAGCTTTTGTTTTTCACTGGCATGTGAAAAATAAAGTTTTTGGCTACTAAACTTGATTATTCTCTACAAATGACCAAGCTTCTTTATGCAGATGTGTTGAAAGTATACTAAGATCATCTGTTTTCATTTGTGACATAATTACCATACATTGCTTACTTTAAGTTTATACCATTTTCCATCCCATTTTTCCAAACAAAGTGCCTCAGAATTTATCTTCTTATTAACTCCTTGTTACAAATGATCTTCCATTGCCATGAAATAAAGGGAAATGGAAACTAAAAGGGGAAAAAACTGCCCATACAGGATTTTTGGTCCAATCATGATTAATATGGTGAACCATGTATGAGATCAGAGTAATTTTTATCTCTAAGAAAAAACATCATTGTCACTAAAAGAAAAGCTATTGATCTTATGTTATGATGATTATGATTTCATATTACTTCTGTGTGTGTCTGTTAAGCATAGTTCTTCATATTCAAATAAGCATGCAGCACTGTGTGATGAAGGGTGGAGGTGGAACAAGATGGTATAAGACATTCTGAGAAGAGAGAAGAGCATGCATAAAAATAGTCAAACACTTTTGTTGTATTTAGTATAGATATTAGCCATCCAGCTACTGCACCTCTGCAAATTCATTTCAAATCGTGCAATGATTTGAAATCTTTAGAAATGGGCACAGAATAAGATTTCCAATAATTTTCATATATGAATCATTGAAAAACATAATCTATGCTGATTTATCCTAGATTTATCTTATATAAAGATAGAGATTAGGTTAAGAAACAAATGTAAGAAGGGGGAAAGATAGAGCCTCAGTGCACTAGAAAATTATCCAAAATATACTCTAGAAAGTTATTCTAAAGGGTGTCAGACATAACTCTGCAGTTTTATCTATTACCTCAAAAGAAAATTTCTATTTTCTGTTTCTGCTAGGAAATAACGGGAATTCTGACTGTCATTATGATTGCTAGGGTTATCATTTAATGAATAGCCCTCAGCCTTCTCTTATTCTTCAATCTCTTTTCTATGCATGATCAAAGGAATTTTCAAATTCACTTTTCTTCTTGTTATTTGTGTTTCATAGGGAAAAAACATCTCAAGTAATGACATACACATATATACATATCAGGATAAAATAGATGCAATATGATGTAAATCCTCGGGGATTATAACTTTCGAAGACATTTGATTCCAAATTGAGATTTGTTGTATTAAAAACTATGAAGAGTTTTCAATAAAATATCTAGTGAGATTTTGTACATAGTGTGTGTATAATATCTCAAATTATTTATCTTGATTTTATTGTGGAAGCAATGGCGATAACACTAGTTCACATATTTTAATCCCTAAGAAATAACATTTCTAAAAAAGAAACAACAAAAGATATAACTCAAGGAGCATTAAAAGTAAAATTGTATGAGAGGGAGGTTTCAAGGTGGTTGCAAACTCCTCTCCACCTTTTTATCTTATGGCAAACACTTACTTTTTCCCAACTTCAAAGAAAAGAAGTTGCTTAAGTACAGTTAAACACCATAAGATGCATGAGAGTGTTTGTTTGTTATTTACCCTTTCTCGCTCTTGTGAGGCAGCTGTTCTGCCTCTTTCCTTGAGCTCAGGGAAACAGAAATATTTGGAAGCTTAGAAATAATCACTTTCCCCATCCCACTGTCCATCCATCACTGAATTCTTCCTCAGGCATAAACACAAGTCAGATAGACAGGAAAATTATATTTCTGGCTATGGTTGTGTGTGAGGAAGAGAGATTTCAGCTGTGTATGTGTGTGTGGTGGGGTCACTAATGGAATATCCCATTTATGATTTAAAAAAAAGAAAGCTTCTTCATTTATTTATGCGTAGTATTTTAAATGACCAGAAGTGCTAGACAGAAAAATACACATTAATACCTAAACGAACAGATTATTTCAATAGGCTATTAATAAATGACAGTGCATATATGCGTATACACTAGCTACAGACTGGGTGCCTTGAACCAAAAAAAAAAAAAAAATCACATGATAGTCTGCACTGCAAACTTTGTTTAAAGCTCTAAATACGATATCAAGTCCTCTGTCAATGACATCAGAAGGTTCCAGGCACTATTTGTTTCATAATCCTGTATCCAGCTGACTCTCTACTTCTCCTTTGCAGCTCAAGTTGCCTCCAAATGCTGAACTGGAGCGCTGAGAGTCGATCCTTGTTTGGTTAACAAATTCCCGGCAACATATACCCCCAAGCCCCCAGGAGCTGTAGTGATGTCATATCCGTTGCCCAGGTCTCCACACCTCTCTCGGCAGTTACTCCCTGTATCTTTTTCTTGGGTCAAAACTTTTGAGGTGGGCTGCGAGGCAGCAGCGGCAGAGCGGGGCAACCGGGGCTCGGGCGGCGGCGCTTCAGCACCTCGGCCAGCGCCCGCCGCAGCCCCGCGCCCCGAGCTCGCGGATCCCGGCCCGAGCCCGCCTGCGGAATGCTCGCCCCCCAGGGCGGCTGCCGCTGCTGCCGCTGCTGCTGCCGCCGCCGCTGCTCTTGCTCTTGCTCCTGCTCCTGCTCCTGCTCCTGCTCCTGCTCCTGCTCCTGCTCCTGCTCCTGCTCCAGCCACCGCCTCTGCTCTACTCTGCTCTGACTGGCAGCCAGAAAGTGCAACTGCCGAGGGTAAGGTCTCTGCAGTAGGAGCGGAGTGGCTACCTAGAAGAGAGTAAAGAGAGGGCAGAACCCCAGATCAGAATGCAGGCGACGTCCAGCCTACTCAATCTCCTGCTGCTGTCTCTGCTTGCCGGATTAGATCCTTCCAAGGTATGGGCAATATTTCACTCTTGTTTGAAATAAATGTGCAATATGTAACCAGCCGACCAAAAATGCAAAGAAATATGCAAAAAAAAAAAAAAAAGGCACGAAGGACAGCTCTAGCTATCTCGTGGTGCCTGGCTTACCCCTACTGCTTGTAAGATAACAAGGTGAACTATCGGAGGAATAGCTCCTCAAGGTAGACTCCAGGCGAGGAGGGTTGGGGGGGGGAGGTACCAAGAGCAAGTATGATGTGTATGGGCACAGGGCTATGCGGCTCTCGGGGGGATTTAGCAGATTCCGTATCCCAGTGCTTAATGTTCTCTTTTGAAGTCGGACGGGGGGGATGCAAAAGGAGTTGGCAGTTGAAACAATGCAATTTGTAAACACGTATTAGGAGATGGTGCACCGCTTCTTTGTTGAAAGCAGAGAAGCGTTTTCCAGCTGATCCTGGTCAATAATACTCCCATCGCAGACGTGCTGCGGTTTGCGTCCAAAACATTTAGGATGCTGCTCGGAACCCACGGCAGAGCAGCGGAGCCATACGCTGCCATGGCTGAGACGCGTTTGGGAAAGGAGCTTGTGTTTATTTGCTTCTTTCTTTTTTATAAAGAAAATTAGGAGGCACCGAGGAAGTTCTGATAACCAGTGTTAAAAAGCAGGAAGTGAGAGCCCTGTCAAACTAGGGTGGGCAGGAGGAAGGATGAGTTAGTTGGCTCATAGCTCTTGAACTCCGCAAATTATCCAGTACTGGTCACTAAAGTGAACGCTAAGCTCTTTGGATTAAAAAAGGTAGAAAAAATATGGAGAAATATTTTCAGCTGTGTGCGAGAAACGTCTTGACTATAAAGTGAGAGAAAATGAGAGCTTCAGCGTTCTAAGAAAACCACAGTTATCTAGAATAAGGGGTAAGCCATCCGGGAAAAAGAGTAAGAGATACAATTTTTGAAATCATTTTACTTATTTAGCTTATCAAGAGCATTTTGACAAGAGGGAAAAAATGATACCATGTTACAAAACCATTTAAAGCTGCATTTTGGAATATTGCAAAATTATTTTTAAAGCTTAACAGTATCTGTACAGTGTAGAGAAATGAAGTTTCTTTTCATGATTGTATAGAACTAACATGTAACCAAGCATGATCTAATATTATGGCTGACTGAGTATTTCTAGGCCTAAAATATAGTGAAAACTTAGAATCATATCATATACATTTGTAGTTATATCTGTGCACTTTTCATATTTAGAGAGACCTGATGAAAGTAATTTTAATATAAAGGCATGGCTGTGCTGATACTGTCACTGTGAAATCTTCACATGGTGTGTGAATGCCACCCTAGTGATCTTAATAGAATATTTTACATACTAAGGGGTAGTTTACATCAGGTAAGAAGTGTTGGTTTTGTTTTTACGTTTTTGAATCTCTGTCTCTCTCTCTCTTTTTTTTTTTGTTTCTGGATTTACAGTGACACATTCTACTGCCACTTTCATTTATTATGTTGGTTACCACTTTAGAATATATTCAATTATTTATTTCTTTTGGAATATTCTCGGTAAAACATTTTTTAAAAGCAAAGCCAATTACTAAGTTACTGCAAAAAAAATCACTTAGAGTGAGTTTTGTCATTCTTTAAAATTAATTCAGAAATGTAGAGGTTTACCAGCAACTGCATGTGTGATTTGATTTGTCTGGTATCTTTTGTGTATAAATATCTTCTTGAATTCTTGAACCCCATTCTTTCCCAAATTAGATATATGTAAGCACAAAAGAGCTGTTAGATAAATTAAAAGAACTATTACATCCCCCAAATAAATGACCTATTTAAGTCAATATGATCTTTTCTAGTATTGATAAGTCTATGTCTTTGTATTCAACAATATATAGCTTGTCTTTAGACTTAACTGGGGCTGTCTGGTACAATTGAGCTGAGAAATCCAGGGAAGGAAAGGTATACATGAACTTTTCAAACTGTCCTTTTTGGGATCTAGATACTGCAATACAGTGTGTAAAGAACAGATGATATGTTGTTCTACACCACAAATGACATTATAGGGAATACTAAAAGGTTCACAGCAAGTGATTTTAATGTCCAAAACAGCTTTTGGACTAGTAGACAAAATACTGCTTTAAAAAAGTGAATAAAAACTACTTTTGCATGTTTTAGCAAACTGTTGTTGATCACCTAACTACAGCATCCCTCCCAACCAAATCACAAATGGTACCACTGAATTCTCAAAATAATTGTCAATTTGGTTAAGAGCTAGGAATTTTCTCAAATTGTGTGGGTTTTGCATTAACTACTTAAGGGTTTAGATAAAATTAGCATTCATAATGCAAATTATGCATGACAAAATCGAAATAAAAATCCAATAATATAGAAGCATATAAGATCACAGTTTTTGAACAATAAGTGGTAATTTAGTGGTGACACCTAAATGTACAGAAACTCTAAACAGTTAATGTTTTTTAATATACTAATATGTTAGAACTGATATTTCACACTCACATTTTTAAATAAATACATTCAAATATTCTTCTATATTATTGTGCTTTGTGTTTATGGTAAATATATATGTATAATCACACATAGATACACAAATTTGCAAAATAGGAGAGCTCATAATTAAAAGGAGTTTTTTCAGGTATAGGATTGCCACATACATCAAATATTGGGAATCTAAACCTTAGTGATCATTGTATATTAATTTATCTAAAAACAATAAGGCTTTCTAACAACAGTACCGATTCCATCTTATGGAAAGCTATAATGATCATTTTTTCTGAGATTGTAACTTCCAGATCTTATATGACATCTTATAAAGTGCTTAAGTATCGCCATCTTATGGTAAGATAAGTTACTTGAAAGTCAATTTTATTTTTAAATTAAAAAAAAAAAAGGCCAAACTTCTTTATTCATAGGATAAACTTACTTTCAGCATTCGCTCACTTTCTTTTTTCTCATTTAATATACCAGGAAATTGGCAAAATTAGCATTTTTTTCAGGAAAGAAAGGCAATTCACCGCTAATTAATTATTCATATTTTATATAGACAGATTATCCATTTTCCTCTCAGGAAAATTATGAGAACTCTGTTTTCTTAATTAAAATCTTATTAACAAGTTTCTAGTTCCAGTTAGAAAAACCCATAAGTTTGTTACTTTACCTATTTTAAGAGAAATTAATTTTATTTGTAATGGAGTGCCTGAATTAGAGGCAATGTGCCAAATCATCATTCATTTAATAAGTAAATTTTTAAAACCTGAAAGCTTGTAGGAATTCAATTATTGCTTAGTTTTATGGAAAAAGGAATATTTCGACGCAGGAAATTCCTAAGAATGGCTGCTAGATGGCATCTCTGCGCTTTTAAACTAAACACACGGAGTTCAGTAATGACCTTGATAGTAGGAGAGTGAACCTCTTTTTCTTTTACAAGAAGATTTTTAGCAGACCATTATTTGAACATTATAACAAAATAGTAATTCCTGTGAATCAAAACCATGAATTTCTCTGCTCTGCAATGCTGAAACAGGAAGAAAGGAAGATATAAATGTGGCTGTGCAGGTTTTAAACAGAACATTTTTACCAGAGTCAGATACTTGGGGAACAGTTAAAAAGAGGTGACATGGGCAAAGCCACACACTGCAGTGACTGTTGAACTTTAAAGCAGGCGTACTTGTGTGATAAATAGATTGAAAAATACCTTAGCACACTTAGATTGAGAAAGCATTCACTATCTTCTTACCTAGAAATGTATTAAAGAACTTAGCACCATGGTACTTGCTCACACCACAGACATAGAATGTAACAATGATTCAGCAATAATCTTCAACACCAAAATGTTCTGTCTCTCCAAAACAACCCAGCCAAGTATAACTCTTGCATTAAATAAAACAGTTGTTTTAGAGCCACATAAAGATGATGAAAACCAAGAGAATTTCGATAATTATATTTTTAATGCTTCATAATGTAATACATCATGTTTAAGTGCCTTTGCATTTTGGTATTGCTAAAGAAAATCATCAAAGACCTAAATTGGCTATGGTGGCTTCTGTACATAAATCTAGTTAAAGTTCTTGTTCTTTCAACTTTTAAATGAAATTAATGAAAAGCAAAAGCAGCAAGAGAAATAAGCGGAGATAAATTCGTTGTAAAATTCACCTTAAAATCTACCTTTTCCTATATTTCCTGTATGCCAGACACACCCTCTATACAACAGGACCAACTCAAATTAGCACAGAAAATATGGATTGGATCGATGGCATTTGGCAAAAATCTGTAATTACACACTCGTAAACCCTGATATGGTAAAAAGTGAAAAGTTCAATGCATCCCATCTGTGTTTTGAAAGAACAAATTACTTTCTTACTCTCATTTTATTCAATTACCCTTAACACAATTAAATTCTTATTTTAGAGAAAGTCAATATTCTTTCTCACTCTCTTGGCAATTTGAAAAAGTTAAAATGGTACCATTTTCCTTTATTTTTCTCTTAAAATTCTATCCCATATAATTTTGCAATTACTCTCTTTAAAAATGACTATTGTGATGATTGATAGGTTCTTTGTTGAGAGGGAAAGCAGCACAAAAGTGAGAACCGTAGGGGCAGGACTTAAGGTCCTTTACTTTTCATCCCTACTTTGCTACTATACATATGTGTATATGTATACGTATATGTGTGTGTATTTGTGTATACATGTATATGAATGATGTTGAGGAAGCTGTGATCTCCCCTGTAAAATATGAAGCCTAAATGTTCTTAAAATCTATTTGCTAAACTCTAGAATGACTCTATGCTATGCTATGCATGTTTATGGGCCCCCAATCTCCCTAATCCTATTCATACTGAAACCTAATGCCCAAGGTGAGAGTATTAAGGTATGTGGCTTTGGGAGAAATAATTAGGTCCTGAAGATGGAACCTTCATAAATGAGATTAGTGGCCTGATCAAGAAGCCACAGAGAGAAAGCTCATTCTTTCCATCATGTAAGGATACAAAAAGAAGTCTAC